TGTATATTACGTTTAATTTAAATTTTTATTAATTATAATTATTAAAATGTAATTATCACCCGATATATGAAGTTTAAACTAACTCTCCCTTATTTATGATAATTGACTTTTAATTACAGGTTTTCAGGTAATTTTCCCAATATAAAATTGTCAAACGTTGTCATGGGCCAACACAAACTGATCTTGTCCTTGCATTATTCTAGCTTAGTAGTAGCTTTTAATTTAGCACTAAAATTGGCCCAATAACTATTTTGTTGTACGACTCTTCCAATTTCTTTCACTCCTAAAAACTAATATTATAATTACTAATATTGAAAGTAAATTGAAGCTCAATAGATTTCAATTCTCACTAGGAGGCTGAACAAAAGACCTATCGAAGTCGGATCACCCTGTCCCATGGACAGTGCAGCAATGTGCTTGAGAGAGGACTTTAGAGGTCGTCTAGTAACATTAACTTCTTCTTCTTTCTACATCATGTACAAGGATTAGCCTAAAATCGTATTGTTCCTCTATAAAGACAACTAATGTTCTCAACGGCTAGGCATCAATCTCATTCTGAGTTATTCTTGCTGCTTTACGATTTCAGTTGCGGTGAACAAATAAAAATTACGCGTGTAAACCATACTTATATCTACGCTATTCAAAAGCATGGATCAATTGTCTCATAAATAGCAGCACTAAAATATCCTCAAACAAAACTGAAATTTTTGAGAGAAAATAAATTGTAAGGTTGGTGTGGGTCCCTGAGTGATTGCGAAGGCATGTGAAATTGTGGGAGACCTCACCTATTTAAGCTAAGGTTACTTTAGCTGCATGGGCTGCATACCAAAAGTCTTCCTAACACAACAGCCTTACTGTCAAGTTGCCCTACAAATGAATGTCATCCTCTCTGTCCAACATATCAGTTTTCCTCCTATTTCAAATTAATGTTTGACTTTAATTAAATTTATAAATTAGTTTATAAATTGTATTCAAACAATGGCTTAATTTTAGTGCCATTTGTCATTTTCAGTAATCAAATTTAGAAGGTAATAAATATTTAAATTAAATAAATAATAATTTATTTCTCCGAAAATATAATACCACATTAGCTTAAACTGAAGCTTAAGCCCAAGCTCGATAGGTGGCTCGTGCACGTGGGCTTTATTCCAAACCCACTAACATTTAAGTCCTTCCCTTTCAAGGGCTAGTTTATATTTGTTAAGTGGGGGTGAGACGCTAATCGACTCGTTCCAGTAGGGAGATGAGCAGGCTTTTCGCACTCGCACTCGAGGTGAGCTGCGAGCATGAAATTAACAAATTTCTCGAACAAGTTGCTTGTAGACTTGCACAAGTTGGCTCTGGCTCGTATGCGACTTCACTCTTTTCTTTCCTTCTTATCAACCACATATTCTTAAATAAAATAATATTACACTTAAAATTAAAAATTTTCATTCCCTTTTAACTACACATTTCTCAAAAAGTCACTATTTCAAAATATATTTTTCCCCAAAATTTGATTTTAGTGGAGTCCAAACACATACAAATATTCGCCTTCTAATTTTTCAATGTGGGACAAATGACTTTATATTTTCTCCCAACTTTCAACTCCAACAATTCTAGTTCTAGCGCTTACTTTGACCTTAATCACCCAAAATCGATTTTAAGAAACCAAATATACTATGTTAATTTACTCGAGTTGTTGAAAATACGTTTAAAAAATTTCAAATTAAAAATTAAAATTTCAGTTTTCTTGTATTTTAAATTTTCAGTTTTTGATTTTAATTTTTGGATTCAATACAAAATTTAATCTCATTATTATATTTGTAACTTATATTTAATTTGATTAATTTTTATTATGGGAGTGTTGAATTTTTCTAATATAAAAGGGGGTGGATTTTCCACTGTTTTACACACAATAAAACAAACACTTGAAAAACACTCTTTAATCATTTTATATTATCTTCTTTTATAATTTTAACAATTGATAAGGGTTTGTTCTTTCTTTCCCTGTGGTCGTGCCCATAGAAGGAGAATCGAATGAAAGCTATGCGGATTTTATCTTGAAGCCGTACAATATCGAAAGTATTAGTAAGAAGGGGAGGTTACACGATTTCAGAACAATGTTTATCGCGACTCTTTTATACCAACTTTTCTAACTCTATTATCATATTTATATTATTTGATTCAGACTTATAGTTGATAATTTATTACACAAATCACATAATTTTTAAGAGTAGGTATACTTGGCCTAATCTTTAATGGCATCAGTCAATCAATTTTAGGGCCTGTTTGGTACAAATTAAAATCAGATTTTAATCAAAATCAAAATCAAACACATTTTTTATAGGTCCCACAACTTTTCAATACACATTTCAAAAACTTCTATCACAATCTACTAAAAATCTAATTTTAATCCCTATCAAACACCCTCTAATATATTTCTTCATTAGAATAAAATAAAATAAAATAATTGGGACCATTACATTCTGTGCATTTTAGCTGTATTTGGGATCATGCCTCAAATTCAATAACTCAGTGATGGCTATTTATTAATTCTCATCTAAAATATTTCTTACATATACCCGTACAAGTCGAGCTTTGTCCTAATCTTCTCATCTTTCTTTGCATGTTCGCCACCTTTCTACCCAACACTTGCTTATGCCACCTCACCCACCTTGTCTTCTTTATACACCAAATCGTTATACTCAAAAATAACTCATCTATTTTATAAAATTTTTACAAAATTAGAACCCACATCCTGCATTGCATGTTCGCCACGTCCTTTATGCACAACATTATATGCCACGTCACTTAATTTGTCTTCTTTATAGAGAAGAATTCGATATCCACGGTCGATACTGACTATAAATGGTATAAATTGTTGCCTAGAGTCCCGCATAAATTAGGATCTCATAATATTTAGGCCATGTTTGACTCTCATTATTTCAAAACATTGTTAGCTATAATAAGATTCTTCACCACACATTTACCAAATAAAATATTCTACACACAAACTAATAAAATTACGTTAAATTTTAATTACATATTCTCCAAAAAATATTATCCATTATTCCATTTCTTCAACAATAATGGAAGACAAATACACACTTAATGTTTTTAAATGTATGCATATTCAAATCTACTTCGAAAACCATATAAAACGTAGGGTTTGTCTACACGTACATAATTTTATATATATAATGGTGTCAACACCCTTACATGGGGGGACCAACTTCGAAACTTCGAATTCGAAGTGAGTCCCCTTCCATATAAGGGTGTGAACACAATTATATACATAAAATTATGTACTAAGTAGCATAATTTTAAAAAGTAAGTCTAAACCTCTGTTTGGTAAACATTCTTTCAAAATACATTATTTCAAGGATTTGTCTTGTACAAAACCATAATGGTGTCCATACACACACAAGTGGTGGGACCTACTTGAATATTTTATTTGAGTGGGTCCCACCACTTGTGTGTGTATGGAGACCATTATAGTGAAAAAAATTATATACACTAAACATGTCTCTTATTTCAAAATTCATTTTCAACTACACATTCTTTAATAAAATAATATTTTCTATCACATCAATAACTTTTCCTTACTTTTTAACCACATATTTCATATCATATCACTATTTAAAATACTTCTTTTCTCAATAGTATCAATCAAACACACCCTAAGTCTCTAACAGTATCAAAGCTGGCCAGTACCAACCACATTCATAGTTTTTTTAAGTTATAAGTCTTTTGTATAAATAATAATAGAATGATAAACTATAGTAAATATCAACTATATTTGACCAACTTAAATTATTTAAACTTTACCTGACATACTCTAAAACCTTTATTTAAAAGCCAATTAGATCCATAAGAGGTGATATTTATCAAGAGTCCAGTATCAAAGTTCAATTTAAACAAATCAAGTAATTACCTAGACTCCCCAGTTTTCTGCTATTAAATTTGTTACTCTGTATTTCATATATTTATTTGTGATTTTTTAATTACCAAAATTGTCATATAAATCAACTTTAAAACTAGTTTAAATTGTAAATATTAACCATTATATTTATTTGTGATTTTTTAGTTACCAAAATTGTCATATAAATCAACTTTAAAGCTGGTATAAATTGTAAATATTAACCATTTAAATTTTCCGTAGTGATCAGCCAAGGTTACAAGCAAATTTTCTATATTAAACTGCAAGTAAGCTAATTTTTACAACTAAATTAAAATTTAACTCAACTTAAACTGAATTTAAATGAATTTAAATAAATACAAGAGCAATTACCACATCGTAGAATTCACATACACCTTATAGTACAGTTCAATACATCAACAAAAATCTTAAGAACATTAAGCAAAATAATATTACACCCCATTCTCACACACAGACTTTGGATTGTGTACATACATGTGGATGGCGCAGGCCTTAGTGTACAAAAAACCTTTAATATCTCCTTTAGTTTTTCCATCACCATCATCACCATATTGTGGTCCATTATCTTTTTTATCAATAATTATTTAGGTTAAAAGATCATTCACCCACCCAAAATCAGGTCCACTTTCATTGTTGTGCTTGTAGGCCTCAGTGAAATCCCTGCTTGAAAAATCCCCATTGAAGAATGTGTTTGAACCTGCAGGATTTGGGGAGAACAAAAATTGGGATTGTTCAGGATCAAGATTGAATAAATTCCCATGTGATGAAGCACCTTCAGTCAGATTCATGGATTCCAAATTTCCCATAAGTTCAGTCAAAGCGTCCTTGTAACTCATCCCACCAGAACTAAATTCATTCAGAGCAGAACATTCGAGTGAACGGCGTGAAAACTCAGGCATTTTGACAGGAGAAATCGGTGGTGAAAATGGAGGGGATGACGGATGAGACAGGTTCATTAAAGTAGAAGTTGGAGAAGCAATCATAGAGTGACAATGAACACAGCAATGGTTCAAATAAGTTTTTTCGATAGAAACCGGAGAAATCAATGGAGGAGAGGAGTTATCGGATAAAATACGAAGCTGTTTAGTAGAGTGCGCGAAAAAACAGATCTTTCGCTGGCAATTCTTACCATCTTTACAAGCCTCAGTTCGATATCGCATTGGATGAAGCCAACACTCGAAAACTCCATGCGCAAACTCGCAATTATCCCCTTTGCTGCAATGGCCTTTACGAAACTCTTCACACACAGTACCAGAATAATGGTACCTTCTGGGATCCCTTCTACGGGCCTTTTCTCCTGGATGAGCAAAGGGACAATCGGTCCAGTCGTGGCTACGGCTTCGAGTGCACTTCCGAACCTTGAATTCGTACATTTTGAAGCGATCTGAGGAGTAAGGGTCTGCATCATCATCATCGACGTTATTGTACGGCAAGAATCTCTGAAACAGGCCATCCTCTGCGGATTTGGGGGAGTCCATGAACATCTCCGCTGCCTGACCGGTAGCAGAGCGGCGGCTGAGTAGTTTTCTCGGCGGAATATCGATTTCCCGTGTGCTTTTCTTGTGATACAATTGGTGGGATTGAAGGAACTTCAGCTGGTGCTGATCAGCACAAACACTACCCATGTTTTCAATTTCTTGATTCAAATCTTGTGAAATGTTGAAGGGAAAGGAAGCAAGATGAGGAAATGTGAGAGATTCAAAGAGGGTTATAAAGAGAGGAAAAAACTTAGAGAGAGAGAGTTTTGTAGAGAGAGAAAGAGAGTGACGAGGATCATCTGAGGTATGGGCTGAAAAATGCGTGTCTTCGTTGTGTTTGGTTTTAGCATGCAAAATCGCATATGTGGCAACTTCACATTACGCTCTGCATGCAATAGTTCTTGTCGTGATTCAGAGGAAGCCCCCGTCTTGAATGGATTTAAATCATATTTTAATCTAAATCAAAATTAAACAATTAATATTAATCACCAATTCTATAACTTTTAATCTGAATTAAAGTTAAACAATTAATATTAATCACATATTTTATGAATCCCACGACTTGTTAATCACATATTTCAAATTTTTTTTTATCAAAATCTACTAAAAATCAAAATTTAATCCACACCAAATAGGGGCGAAAAGTCACCTCCACTTTTTATATTTCTATGATATGAATAATATTTGAAGGTTGTTAGCGCATACATTAGAATTAGGGTGTGATCCGAATTTTATTTGAAATGCTATTTCAGAATTCTATTTGAAGTTTATTTGACAATTCTAGTTGAAATTCAATTTAAGAGTTCAATTTGGAGTTTGAAATTTGTGTTGAAGTTGAAGATGTCAAAATATATACTAGGGAGAAATTTTCGCCGATTTTTCGCTAGCTGGCTGCTAGCCTCCCGTTTCGCATTTTGACGCATTTTCAGCATTCTTTTCTATCTATAACTATATTCTTTTATATATATATATATATATATATTAGAGCGAGGTTCGATCAAGTCAAGAGCTTTGCTTGATCTTTTGTGATGGCAACCATGAATTATGATATCCTACTTTTGGATCGTAGTACAAGATTTTCGTTGTGACAGGTAAAGATGCTAGCGGTGTTCGTTCAAATGGATTTGGATGATGCGTTGAGATTTGACAAGATGCCACAGTTTGGACGCCGGAGGAGAAACAATGTACAGATCGAAAGACTTTATCACAGATTCATCTTCATCTTTCGAATAATATTTTTCAGGACGTTTGAAGGAGAAGACTATCACTGCATTTATGATTGAAATGGGAGCAATTATACATGATAGAGTTTAAATAGCAATTTCCATTCGAAACAGTGTCTATATTCTTATTGTATGATGGAATGTACATCCCTTGAAGATCACCTAACTATTTTTAAGGAAATATCGTTGATTTGAAAACTTTGGAGGTTAGATATGATGAAGCGGATTTGTGTTTGATTTTATTGTGTTTGTGCCCACTTCATATATGTATTTTAGAGATACGATCTTACACAATCGTAATACTTTCTTGTTGGATTTGAGGCTCATAAAGATGGCCTTATTGTTGATGGTGATTATATTAATGGCAAATTAAGGTCTAACTTTAGTAATACAATTTGTAATTATTGCAGGAGGAAGGGATACATGATAAATGATTGCTATAAGTTACAGAATAAAGAAAAATTGGCTGCAACAAATCAGAAAGGAAAACAACCAGATATTTCAAGCGAAGCCAATATTAAGAGAATTCTTACGATGATGGAGAACTCTTGATTATTTCTAATGGCGACTCCAAATCGGACGAGGATTTGATTCATTATACAACTTGCACTTTTTATTTGTGTCCCAATCAAGATTTGATTTCTACATATGAAAAGTTTCGAAAGGTGTTGTGGTAATGGGTAATAATACACTTTTTAGGATATCTGGTATTGAAATGGTCAAAATTAAGATGTTCGATGTGATTGTTAGAACACTTGATACTGTGAAACATGTTCTAGATTTGTAGAGAAATCTTTTCTTTTTGAGTACTCTTGACTTAAAAAGGTACAAATACATTGATAAATGTGGAGTCTTGAATGTTAGTAAAAGTTCCCATATCATGATGAAGGGACAAAGAAGTTCACAGATGCGTTCTCTGTTCTAAAAAAATTGCATTAGCCATTTGATCATTGATAAAGAGAAAGGAGAGAACCTATTTTTTGTATCATTGATTTTGCATTTTGGTGCTTGTGATTTCAGCATTTTTGAAGGCAAAGATTCATCTTCTTCCCCTGCAAAACTTGTCCAAGGCCGAGTTTCATCCATGTCGCATTTGATTTTCCATTGAAATTGCATCTAACAACTAAGATTTTTTTTACTATATTAGGAAAAAGGTTTGGACTCAAGCAGCACAAGCAAAATAGACTGATTCCATGGAGGTTCAGACAGCTAAAAAGATAGCTAGTTTGCTAAGAAATCCTTCAGTAATCACAAATCAAAAGCAATTGTTGAGGCTCGAACCCCTGATCTGTGATGTGTGCTCCCAAAATTGGTTGAAGTCGTGTTTTACAAAAGAACAACTCTTTTAGTAATGCAACTTATCCTCTGATGGTGACACGTGGTTTCTTGCTGGCTCTTGGATCTGTGGTTTGTTAGTGTGTGATATATATACCAAACTCGAGATATTTTCTCACTCGATTTTGGCTTTTGGGCTTCTCTCGTTTCTTTTAAGATCTTCTGAGTCTCTCTCTTCTTGTAACTGGGGTAGAGATCTTCGTGTTCTTCATCTCTTATGATGAACCTGTAAACTGAGATCCATTAGTGGTTAAGCCTCTGTAATCTGTTGTTTTTGTGATATCTGTGAGAATAAAGGTTTTCTTGCAGTGGTTTAGTGCAGTAGGCTATTGAAGGCTGTCTTTTGTGACTCTTTCGTTCGATCTGCAGTTTGATGTTTTAGAGATAAATGTTTTTGTGCATTTTCTCTTATATTTGAAGAACGATCCGTAATATTGTTACCATTTTGGGCTTATTAGTGCAACCGAGCATTTATCCATTTAATGGATGCTCAACGGAGGATGTAGACGTTAGATCCGATTGCTGAACCTCCAGGGCTTAGGCCAAAACATATCTTATGTTCATTTTAATTTCTACAATGTTTACTTACTATTGTGATCGATTCTTTTGTATCTTGTTTTAAAATTGTGTGATTTGGGCATTTACAGTGGTATTAGAGCCTGGAACTGAAAGGACAAGATACCTGGATCTTCGAGGAAAGGTTCGATCTATTGTAGATCAAAAATTTTTGGAACTGCTAAAATGCATGTTAAAGAATTCGAATTCTTGCTAACTCGCTGGGTGAGATCCTTCTTTTCTACTTTCTATAAAAGTTTTAAATGCTTTTAGGGTTTCTTGATCATACCCTTAATTTACCAAAACACCGTTGAAACCCCATTGGGACTAATCTTTGTCCAGTGGCTCCTGTGAGGCTCCTGAAATCTGAGATAAATCAAGTTTGTGTGTGTTTTCTAGAGAATCTTGCTGGAGTGATCTGTGAAACATAGAATGTGATCTCTGTGTGTTCTTTAATTGAGCTTGTTCTGTATATTTTATTGATCTCTTTGATTGTTACCTGATATCTTGTATTATTACGTGTTATACTGTGATTTCCTGAGTTACTGAAGTTGTTACAAGTCTCTGATTGTTTTCTATTATCTTGAATTCCTACTTAAGCATCATACCCGTTTTCAAACATAGCTTCTGCTAAGTTTGAAATTCCACAATTTTATGGTAAATGTGATTTTAATATATGGTGTCAAAAGATGAAAGCTATCTTAATGCAAATGAGAGTAGCTAGAGCTTTTGATAATAGTTGGCCTGCAGACTTATTACCTGCTAAGAAAACTGAACTTGAAGAGGTTGCATGGAGTACTATTTTCTTGTACTTATCTGATAATGTTGTAAGAGAAATTGGTGAAACCAAAACTGCTTTTGAACTGTAGGCTAAACTTCAATCCAAATATGTGACTAAGACTATCCCAAATAAATATTTTCTGTTGAAATAACTCTTTTCCTTTAAAATGGATCCCTCTATTGACTTGGATGAAAACTTGAACATGTTTACTAAACTGACCATTGACTTAGCCAACTGTGATGAAAAACTTTCAAAAGATCAATTGACTGTAGTTTTGTTGAACTCCATTAGTGAAAAATATAGAGACATCAAGGTTGCTCTTGAACATGGTAGGGCTAAGATCACTACTGATGATATTATTAGTGCTATAAGGAATAAGGCCCTAGAGATTAAGTCTGAAAATATGAGTCACAATGGAGAAACCTTGCTTACTAAGGGTAAATGATTTAGTAAACCTAATTTTCACACCAAATCTTTGAATGAAAACAGGACCAAATGGAATGACAAGAATAAGTCAAAGAATAAGGCAAAAGGTAAGAAATGTTTTCATTGTGGTAAATTGGATCATTTTATTAAAGATTGTTACAAGAAAAAGAATAAAGCAAAAGATAAAAGCTTCGCTGATGGGAATATTACCTTAACCTATAATAAGATTGATTCTGAAAATAGTTTAGCCCTTGTTCATAATGAGAAGAATCTGAGTGAAGAATGGATACTGAACTCTGGCTGTTCCTTTCACATGTGTCCCAATAAAAACTGTTTTATTGATTTTGAAGTCACCTCTGGGGGGCATGTTATTATGGGAAATAATATGACTTGTAAAGTGAAAGGAATAAGAACTATTAAACTGCTTCTTGAAATTGGGAAGGTACTCTTTTTAAAGAGGACCAGATATGTGCCTGATTTAGAGAGAAACCTGGTGTCTCTAAGAATGCTGGATGACATGGAGTTTAACATAAAATTAGGTCAAGGACATATTGAAATTCTTAGGAGTTCTGACTTAGTCATAAGTACCCCTAAGAGACATGGTCTTTATTTCTTGAATGCAAAACCTTTACTTGGTTTAACTACTGCTGTCCTATCTGACAATTTTATTCTGTTTCTGTCCAAACTGTGGCATGAAAGACTTGGCCATATTGGCAAGAAAAGTTTGAAATCTTTACAAAATAAAGGAGTTTTTGGAAAACAAGATCTTGTTGATTTTTGTGTTTGTGAACAATGTGTTATTGGAAAGCAAGTTAAATTACCTTTCT